CTGAGTCACGAAAGTTCGTAAATTTGTCTGCACTTTTCGCGAATTTGTCAGAAAACTTGCCTGCTTGCTTTTCCAAGTCAAAGTTAGTAGGGACTGTGCCATCGAATGGTGCATGCCTCAGACTCCACTCTACAGAAATCGCCGAGTTACAAGCCTACGAAAACACGTCCTCATGAATTTCGCTCAAAATGTAAAAATCGCGTATTTCGTCGAAATTCCACCCTCAGTGATTGTGTGACATTCTGGTTGCAAATATTATGTTCACTTCGCCTAAGGGATCCCATTGAATTGAATGTGGTGGTCGCGCGTTCTTCAGCTGCTCAACTGAATATCCAAGCAGCTTCGTAGCCTGAGCTCAGATCTACCTAACTTCCAAATCCAGCACAGTATGACCATTAACCAATGTGAACAGATTTGATCAGTATGTCATAAAACCACTCAGGGTGGAATTTCGACGAAATACGCGATTTTTACACTTTGAGCGAAATTCATGAGGACGTGTTTTCGTAGGCTCGTAACTCGGAGAACTTTATAGACTGGAGCCTGGGCATGCACCTTTTGATAGCACAGTTCCTAGTGATTTTGACTTAGAAAAGCAAGCAGGCAAGTTTTCTGACAAATTCTCGAAAAGTGCAGGCAAATTTACGAACTTTCATGACTCAGTTACAGTCACCTCACAATATCTCTACAAAAAGACCCTATCTTCTTCAAAGACCACTATTTTCGTAAACAGAGTGTTCGAAAACCTCTATAAGCGAAGTTTCCTCACAATTCAAGAGCATCAACATTTTGACCAATATCCATTGGCGAGCTTCCAGAGCGTAAAACGAGAAAAAATGAAACAACCCAAACATCCCGGAAAACTTGCTCATAGAGGTTATCTGGCCTGCTGATTTCGAAATTCACATCTGCTTAGCAAGATAGCTTCGTATTCTAGGGCTGTGGCAAGTAGAAGTTCCTGCGACAAGATTTTTCCCCAATTCACCAGTCCTTCTATCTCCCTTTGAAAGAATTTTGCGGAGACTATTTAGCGATCATTAATCTGCAAGGGAGGTACAACCGAATCGCCCTTACAATAGTCTACTAGGGGCAATGCGCGCTACTTTACATCTTTGCAAAGTGACGTCGCAGAAAGATTCATGAATACTGAAATAGGAATATCAAGGGCATGCTGCATATCGAAAGGTTTGCCTTGACAAGCTGAGCACGATGCTTTTTTCGGATTTAGAATACATTCATTCCGAAGGAAGATATGACAAATAGAACTTAAAAACGCGTGATTTTTCCAGAATTCACCAACGCTTATGTTTCATCTGGAAAGAATTCCGCAGCTATACTTTAGTGCGCTATAATTTACAAGAACCGTACTATCGAATATTTCTTATTAGTATCCTTTATGTTGGATAGGCGCTGCGTTACATCCTCGCAAACAGACCTCCGCAGAAGAATTTGAGAAAACTGGAAACGGAATCGGATTCAGAGTTTATTCATTCTGAATGGAGTTATGGCGTTGTGTAGTTTGCGTGATTGCGTGATTCCGCGGAAATCCCGGAATTTCGCAAAACTCCCAGAACGTTGCGGACTTTCGCAAAACCCCCGGAATTTCACGACGTACAAAGAAAATCTGCATTTTTGTGAGCTGTTGTAGATAGCAAGTAAAAGGGAGGCAACAGCCTATGTACGCGCATCGTTCGCGGGCGTGTGGACTCTGATGGAAAGATGCTCGAGCATGCGTTTGTGCCGTTTCGCACCTTAGATCGATCACCTTTGTGGATCTGGATTTGTACGTCATACGCATAAAACAGAAGTGTTCAGCTCATCTTTGAAACTCCTGTTGACAGGCGACTCCGTTCATTCACAATTTATAGAGCTGTGAATTTTTTTGAAAGAGCATCTATCTACTGCACCGAATGCGCAATTGAACCGAAAAAGCCTGTAGATCACATTCTATAAGAGATAGAGCGGTAAAAACTCGCACAGCGTTTCCTAAAGTACATTCCTTACTGTATGTCAAAAATGATCCAATTTTGTGATATCATCAGTGATAAATGATAAAATGGTGTTATCAATGATAACGACAGATAAGAATGGCTTAAATTCACGCGGTCGATTCCCACGTTCATCTCCCATATAGGTGCTTTCAGCCCAGGCTTCGGCGTGAAGCGAGTTGAAGTGAAACTGCCATTTCAGGTAAGAACTGGCAGCTATGGCATGTGCCGATGAGAAATCGATCGATTGCTGCAGCGAGGGATCCACCAATTGACCGAACAATAGAACTAGGAAATCCTGTAGATCAATTATAATGAGAGATAGAGCGATAGGAATTCACACAGCGTTTCCTACACTACTTTTCTTACCATGTGCCAAAAATGATCCAAAAATATGATATTATCAGTGATAAATGATAAAATGCTTATATCAGTGATAAGGGTAAATAAAAACTGCCCATTTTTTCGCGATAGTTTTCGATAATGGGAACTTCGTACCAGAACCTCCTATTCGCGATTTACACGGTGATAGATGCTCACAAAAGCCTTAACATAGAAAACAACAAGGTATCATTGTATGTCTACCCCGTCACCACGAACTACGGACATACCGTATATCAAAAGATTCGCCTCATCAAGCTGAAGCCAAATCTTCACTCAGATTACAAATAAAGCTGTTTTAAAAGAAGTTATAGCTAAATCCCGCTTATCCCGCAAATCCCGCGAATCCCGCAAATCCCGCGAAGTCGCGAATCCCGCGAATCCCGCGAATCCCGACAATCCCGCGAATCCCGACAATCCCGCAGTTTTGGACAAATTCCACCGCTGCAACTGTATATATACTAGCGACCCTACGGGTCGCTAGCAAGCGGGTAGGGCACACCCATTAATAAATATCTTTCATACCTATAATTTTCTCAATGTCACTCTCGCACTCAAGCTTACAATCTGGAGAGAAAAATCGAATTCACCCAGAGCAAAAACTCCCAAACGCGAGATTTTGGGAGATTTTCTCAAAATTTGGCGGAAAAGTGGATCATATCGTGCTAAAATTTTGTCTTGCCCCAGTCATCGCTGTGCAGCTTCCTTTCGCAATGTCACTCTCGCACTCACGCTTACAGTCTCGGAGTAAAATCGGATTCACCCGGAGCAAAAGCTCCCAAAAGCGAAATTTTCGAAGATTTTCTCAAAATCTGGCGGAAAAGTGGATCATATCGTGCTAAAATTTTGTTTTGCCCCAGTCATCGCTGTATAGCTTCCTTTCTCAATGTCACTCTCGCACTCACGCTTACAATCTGGAGAGAAAAATCGGATTCACCCGCAGCAAAAGCTCCCAAAAGCGAAATTTTCGAAGATTTTCTCAAAATTTGGCGGAAAAGTGGATCATATCGTGCTCAAATTTTGTCTTGCCTCAGTCATTGCTGTGCAGCTTCCTTTCGCAATGTCACTCTCGCACTCACGCTTACAATCTCGAGAGTAAAATCGGATTCACCCGGAGCAAAAGCTCCCAAAAGCGAAGTTTTCGAAGATTTTCTCAAAATTTGGCGGAAAAGTGGATCAAATCGTGCTAAAATTTTGTTTTGCCCCAGTCATCGCTGTACAGCTTTCTTTCGCAATGTCAATCTCGCGCTCACGCTTATAACTGGAGAGAAAAATCGGATTCACCCGGAGCAAAAGCTCCCAAAAGTGAAATTTTCGAAGATTTTCCAAAATTTGGTGGAAAAGTGGATCATATCATGCTCAAATTTTGTCTTGCCCCAGTCATCGCTGTGCAGCTTCCTTTCGCAATGTCACTCTCGCACTCACGCTTACAATCTCGAGAGTAAAATCGGATTCACCCGGAGCAAAAGCTCCCAAAAGCGAAGTTTTCGAAGATTTTCTCAAAATTTGGCGGAAAAGTAGATCAAATCGTGCTAAAATTATGTTTTGCCCCAGTCATCGCTGTACAGCTTCCTTTCGCAATGTCACTCTCGCACTCACGCTTACAATCTCGAGAGTAAAATCGGATTCACCCGGAGCAAAAGCTCCCAAAAGCGAAATTTTCGAAGATTTTCTCAAAATTTGGCGGAAAAGTGGATCATATCGTGCTAAAATTTTGTCTTGCCCCAGTCATCGCTGTACAGCTTCATTTCGCAATGTCACTCTCGCGCTCACGCTGACAATCTTGAGAGAAAAATCGGATCCACCCAGAGCAAAAGCTCCCAAAAGAGAAATTTTCGAAGATTTTCTCAAAATTTGGCGGAAAAGTGGATCATATCGTGCTCAAATTTTGTCTTGCCCCAGTCATCGCTGTACAGCTTCCTTTCGCAATGTCACTCTCGCACTCACGCTTACAATCTCGAGAGTAAAATCGGATTCACCCGGAGCAAAAGCTCCCAAAAGCGAAGTTTTCGAAGATTTTCTCAAAATTTGGCGGAAAAGTGGATCAAATCGTGCTAAAATTTTGTCTTGCCCCAGTCATCGCTGTACAGCTTCCTTTCGCAATGTCACTCTCGCACTCACGCTTACAACTGGAGAGAAAAATCGGATCCACCCGGAGCAAAAGCTCCCAAAAGCGAAATTTTCGAAGATTTTCTCAAAATTTGGTGGAAAAGTGGATCATATCGTGCTCAAATTTTGTCTTGCCCCAGTCATCGCTGTGCAGCTTCCTTTCGCAATGTCACTCTCGCACTCACGCTTACAATCTCGAGAGTAAAATCGGATCCACCCGGAGCAAAAGCTCCCAAAAGCGAAATTTTCGAAGATTTTGATGATGATGATGCGAAGTGAAAATCACTGTGTTTTTCGAAAGAAATTAGAGCAAGTAAATGTTCTTGATATCCTGAAAATACCAGACTTTTAGGTCTCGGTATATGCTTTTGCTGTGGTCGTCTACGCATTAATGTATTCATGTGTATTTGTGTGTTCTAAACTGTAATTTTGTACCGTATTCAGCACTACAAAGGCTTGCAAATGTTTGCTTTGATAGATGTTGACATCAAAAAAAAACAAGTAAATAAATAAATAAAATACTGACCAAACTTTATGCATTGATCTTCACTTCTCATAAAAGCTGCAAGAAAGATTCTTGACAAAGTCTAGTGTTCTTGAAGACGTTTTGTTGCTTCCTCGAGAACTGTTTCAAATACAGGGAACTTTTCCTTGATAAACTCCTTGGCATCATCAGATAAGGCACTGAACTTTTCAATAATTCCTAGGTCAATCTCGTGCGCAACAGAATCAGGCATTGCTTTGTGCTCGTCAAGGATAATGCTTTTTGACATAAATTCCGTTATCTAAACACAAATTTTTCTTGTAATGAAGAACGACTGAGTAGCTTACATTTTCAGCAAACTCCTGCACTTCGGGTTTGAGCTCAGCAAGTTCTTTCTTCCTAGAATCATACATGTTCTTCATCCTTGCTCCGAGATCTGGAGACTTCTTCATCAGTTCAGCAAAAAACTGTAATATGAACTTGTAAATCTATTAGGTAGATGTGCAGTATGCATATTAAGTTATACTATAAATTATTCGGCGGTATTCAAAGGATGAACGAAGACCTGAAAGAACATTAGTCGGCGTCTTTTCAATTAAAATTAAATTACTAAAATTTCGATGTCTGCGTAGCAGACTCATTAATGACTGCCTTTCCTCTGCGGCCATCCATCAGGGACAAGCAGGAGTGTGGCGTGCGACCGTTGAATACGACTTCCCCTTCCCCTCCCCCTCAGGGCGATAGTTAAGAAGCGCAATTTCTAGTTGCCACCAGCTTGAAGGTATTTACATTTCTAAGAAACGTTAATCTTGAAAAAATTCCAGACAATTGTGGTTAGGTTACAGGTGTTTGAAGTTACCACCTGTTAAATTCGACGGTTTTTGCTGCAAAATGAATGAATTATCTATCAAAGAGAGGAACGCTGATTGCATTTTTAAGTGTTTTCACCTCCACTATTATGCTTCTCACCTTATTCCGAGATAAAAATGCTGACGAGTTTATGCAACTTCAGCTGTGTCTAACTAAAAATTAAAATGCTCTAAATTTCAAAGACTTGAATGTGTGCAATCTGTTGTCCAACTGGCAATAAAAATAGCTGCTCTCACAATCTCTCCCCCCCCCCCCTTTCCCCCTCCTCAGGGCCGCATGCACTAACATCCCCGCCAGGAAGGGGATCAAAGCTTTAGAAAAAGCTTCTTCATATTCTGAAGCTCCGAAGATCCTAGATTTCACGCTGTTTCCCTACCAGTAAGAATTCCCACCAACTTTCGCTATGATCATATTGAACAGAAACGAGAAGCTGTACAAGCTATATTTTACATCTTTTATGATCTCCTGATGATTCTCGGCGGCCGATCGTCTCTTCCTTAAAGTCATTTTTCTTCCTTCAAAGTAAATAAAAAATTCCAAAGTTGTACTTATTATCTAAATCAGTAGTGCTAAGCATGTTGCTGATAAGGACAAACGAGTTTTTGCTATATCAATTTTTTCGATGAGCCCCAACTTTCAACTTGTGGTTCATCGCAAATTTCATGACTCCAAAACATTTTTGTTCTTATCAGCAACATGCTTAGCACTGGGGTTAGATAAGGAATACAACTTTGAAATGTTTCCATCAGCTTTGAAAAAAGAAAAATGACTTCGTAGAAAAGACGGTCGGCCGCCGGGAATCATCAGGGATCATGCAAAAAGTGGAATATGCGACTTGTACAGCTTCTCGCTCCTGTTCAATATGTTCATAGTGAAGGATAATGGGAATGCTTATGGATAGGTGAACAGCGTGAAATATAGAGCTATCTGGGGCTTCAAGATACAAGGCTTTCGTTTAAGCTGCGATCCCCTCCGCGGCGGGGATGTTAATGCATGCGGCCTTTAGTGTCATATTCTTATAAACTCGATAAAGACGCAGTCAAACTATAGCGAGGACATACATGGTACTGCTAAACATGTTTATAGCAGGAAATTGGTGAGATCAGGATACCCAGATCTTCGATGAACCGCTGTTAGCGAGCTAAAAACATAGCCGGCTCTGGAAACAAAGGATCCCCTGGGGATCCCAAGTGGATTCACACAAAACAGTGGAAATCCCAGCTTGTACTGATCGTTATGCCAACAATTGCATCAAAGGCAGTGGCTAGGCAAATCCTCGACCTGCGGTTTTTTCGCTTACCTGGGTTAATTCGTCGCGGTGATTCCGAATATCAGCTTTCAAAACCGCGAAAATGGCAAAAACTAGCATTTCCAAAGGCTCCTTATTCTGAATTTGGACGGGTGTAACGCCTCCCACCATAGTTAGAGACGTAGACTCGTTGTGAGGCCCCCATGTTTATAGCACTGCGGCTGCCGTCTCTGACTGTTTGAGGGATATCGCAAGCTCGTCCAAAGTGTGTAGGAATGGCTTGCACGCAGTTAGCGGTAATTTTCTATTTGGGGGCAGCATGCTGTACGCGCGGAACTGCTCCGTTCTCATGTTTGGGGTGCAAGCAATTTTTCATATCAAAATAGATTGATTTTGCCGAGCCACTGCCTTTGAGTTCAGGATATAAGGACCTTCAAAACATAGAAAAAGAAAAATACAGATTCTATGCGAAATTTGTCGCGTCCTCTCTCAGATTCCCTCTCATTTCCAGGGGGATGTACGTGCATACGGTTCTAAAGCCTCACATCAACGCGAAATTCAGTTGAATAGACATTATATACGCCGAGATCACAGCATGCCAAATGCTTTTGGATGAAACTGAAAATTCACGGTGAGTAAGGCCCGTATGCACGTACATCCCCGCGGGGAGGGGAGGGGATCTGAGAGGAAGCGCTATATCTCGCTAGTTTATATGTCTTTCTTCTTTTTTCTCTGTCTTGCATTTGAAGGTTCTCATACACTGATACCTGCGCATAACGGATGCCAGGTTACTACCATTATAGATCAGATATTCAATACTTTGTCTGATCCCCTAGGGATTTCCAGGGAATCACCCCACATTTTCGAAGTCATTTTTATTCTTGAAAACTCAATGAAAATGCTCTGAAATTGTACTGAGGATATACTACAGCACTGCTAAACATGTTTGTGGTAGAAGGAGTGAAATTTCAAGATGTCAAAACCTTCGATAAACCGCTGTTCGCGAGCCAGGGATTATCGAAAAAATCAAAATCTTCACATTCCATTTCTTCTGTCAAAAATATGCTCAGCAGTATCGTAGTATATCTTTAGTACATTTTGCAGCGTTTTCATCATACCTTCGATAGTCAAGAGACAGAGCCTAGAAAGTGATAGTTGTTTGAGTTCCTGCCCCCTATAAAAGTGAAGCTTGTTTCAGAAAAATAGACGAAAATTTACAGATACAAATAAGATTAGAAAACTTAGAAAATTCATATAAAGCAGAGGTTAGCACATCACCAAATCTGAAACCTTAACTTGGTGGTTTCCTAGTTTCGTCTCCAGGATTGCCGGTTAAATTGGGTGGCAACAAGAACAAAGTTCTTTTCCAATTAAAAGAGGCGCTGTTTAGCTGTTGCGGTAGTTGGGAGACCGAAAAAAGGAAAACTTGTCAACAACTGAATTGAACATGTTAAACACGTTTGAAAAGATATGTTGCACATCGACGCCAATCTGATTTTGATGCGTCCTTTAAATTTTCACCCCCGCATAGTCGTTTCGTATCCTGCGACGTTGTCTGGATTCCTCCGCTCATCATTCCGAGCAAGTATCGTCCAAGCTGGAGAAATTTCGTTGCGAAAGCAATGAAGGGGAACAAAGTAAAGAAAAACGCATTTTTTAGTAATTTTCACGAAAAAACCGGCATAAGCAAAGAAGCAAGCTTGGCGACGTTGTCTACATCATAGATAAAAACGAGACCTATCGAATACACAAAAAAGCCGAGTGAAAAAAGTTAAATTGAAGAAAAAACAAGAGGTTTTCAAAAACGCCGTTTTTTCCAGATTTCTCGGTTAAATCGTAAAAAGGAGTCTTGCGACGTTGTCATTGTGAAAATAGAGATCAAGAGCTATAATATGATATATAGATTGTCGTAATTGGGCTTCGAACAACGAAGAAAAGGGTACCAGAGCCAAATTCCCCGCGCCCCGCATTTGAGGTAGAGAGGTAGCGCGCAACGCGCGGAGACGCAGACGAGCAGCGGAGACAGACCAGAGCCGGCGGGGCATATGGCTCTGGTCATTGATCTCCATGGGGTCATAGCGAAACCCTATAACATTATATATCGTTGTGATCCTTATGAGACGGCCGGGAGCACTGACAACGTCGCGGATCTCAAAAATCACTCAATAACGAGATAGACCAGCATTTATGTGGCGAATCCCTGCGCAAGATTTGAGCGTAGTTTCTCGTTTTTATTGAACTCCAGCGGCTTTCATGAACTTCCAATGCTCAATCACAGTCTAGAGGAAGGTTAATTGAGAAATTTTGTCCTAGTTTCTAATTCAATTTTTTATAAAAACTTTCTTTTCAGCAAAAAAGGCCATACAAACGCGAACCTTCGGTTTTTTGAGCTTCTTTAGAATGTCACTACTATATGCCTCATTCATTCATCCCTATATGTTGTCAATAGTTACGTCATAATATCCACGGCTACGCCCCATATGTCTTCTGTACTTCTCTCCAGGTGAAGGTTGTGTTCTATCATGAGGCTCAAAGTGAAGGTTAGCAGAGTACATGGCTCTATGTATCGAAGGTATGGTTTTCATTGAGTTTTCAGGAAGATAAATGACTTTGAAAATGTGAGGTGATCCCCTGGGGATCCCCAGGGGTTCAGACGAAATAGTGATTACCTAGTCGTGTATGGCAGTAACCTTGCATCCGTTATGCGCAGTTATTGTATGAGAAACTTCACAAGCAAGATAGAGAAAGAAGAAGAAAGATATGTAGACTAGCGAGATATGACGCTTCCCCTCTCAGATCCCCTCCCCTCCCCGCGGGAATGTACGTGCATAAGGGCCTAAATGGTTGCTGAATTTCGCATATCTCCAAAATTTATTCATACTTCTCTTTCTCTCGGTCTCAGTGGAGATTTCGGAATAATTTTTTGCAAGAGATGGAGTAGCAGCTCTATCAATTTTACTTACTGAATCTTTCTACGTGCAATGTGCGCTGCGTCACTTCATAAGAAATTATGCATGCACAAGAATGCAAGCTACCGTATACAAACAAGTCACATAAGTTCTATGTACCAGCAAGTGGACTTTTGCAGCACGACATAATGACATAGCATTTGAATTACTAAGCAACATTGCAGGAAAATCCGAGTATGTTAACCTTACATAGTTCATCTACCGCACCTTCTGCTGTGCCACCACATCGTGTAAATTTTGTCGTCAGCACATGTTATCCGTCTAGCAAGAAACTGAAGAATTTCATTGAAACTATCCATGCTAGCCGTACCCAGCCAGTTTAGGTTAAATACAACAGAGAACCTCTTCGGGTTGATAAAACCTTTGCTTGCTCAGAAGTCGTCCAGTTTGCATTGAGATGTGCCTATGCAGCGGCAATCTTGGTGTATCCGCTGGCCTCGTCAGTGTGGCGGCCGTCAGATTTGCGAGTGCAGCAGCCATCTTTGGGCCACTTTATAAGTATTGCTATTACTGGTCGATATTTATTTATCTTTGTCATTTTTGAGAATCTTTTAGGGGACTGAGAATCAATAATTATTGGTGCGGGAAAGGTATGATGTGCAGAGATTGAGGTTGATGTGCGCACCACTGCACATCTGGCAGACATGACTGTTAAAAGTCATGAGAAGTTCCATAAGTTGCCTGCAAGCATTCTTGCAGCTGACGGGCTAAGTTGGGGGTCTGCTTTAAAGGTATCTTTCAAGTACTTATCCCTAAAATCTTCCTAGACATTTACAGACTCTAGCTTCCGTTGCCGGTTTTTTGACATGGAACCTTCGAGCCGATTTTGCCTTATCTATTAGGTTGTCCCATAAGTCTTTCCACATCTGAATTTTCACCAATATTGAGTCAGTTTTTCGCTATTTCCAAGAGTAAGCGGGGTAGAAATCAAAGCAAGCTCTACAAGATGCTATTAAAAGTTCGCACTAGTTTTGATCAGCACTGACTCGGCCAAAATGAAAGAATTTCCAATTTTCCAAGAAAACGAAAATAATCGCACCTCAGTTCAAATCGAACTTTCTGCTCGCTCACTCATACACTTTCCAATCAGATATTTGTATATGAACTTGCTGTATTTTTCTGATGGCTAGAACTCGAGAAAAAATGATGGGTTAAAATTACAAACTTTTCCTAGAGCGGTTCTCTGTTTTTCGCAATTACGTGACTATATAGCGTACTCACTCAAAAATATTGCCACAAATTTGCACGTATGTATGTGTCTTAGTTCTTGAGAAATATTAATTTGAAGGTTTGAATATGAGAAGACTTATGAGACAGCCTAACAGAAAATATGACTATTTAGTCGCGTCTTTCCATGTCAACTTCGTAGACGTGCAAAATCTTTCAAAGCAGTTGGCTTGTGGTAAAATTCGTGATTGGTGTATTGATAATTACACGAATTAATGGACGTTCTGTGCAAATCATATACAGCAACCCCTATCGTCCCCGTGACATATTCTGAGATAGAGCCCCTGTCGAGCATACAAATAAAATCTTCTGGATGATTTAGTAGCTTAATACTTGAGCACTCAAGATATTCTAGAAATCTCACTTTATTGATATATTTTATGTGACTATAGTATAGAGATACCTCATATAGATTACCTCTTCCTCACTCCCAACTTTGGTATAGCTCAAGATATCGTCTGAGACAGCCATGAGATCCTTGTAAAATTTCTCGTCGCTCTCTTTGAATTCTAAATGGTTGCTATAACTTACACGTACTGCGACAAAAAAACCTTACCCGTAATGAAAAAGAATACTTTCAGGAGAGCTTTCGTTGCAAACTTATTCGCCTTGACAAGAGGAAGCCCTAAACTATCACTCTATCTTAAGATGTACAAGTCCCTCTTTGCCTTAGCAAAGGCGGCAAAATTTTCCGCGTGAGACCCTTTGCCGTAGAGCGCATTGAGTAATCAGATTCTGAGAGAGCAAGACCGCATCGCAAAGCGTCCGCAGACTGCCCTCACATAATTGATAGAGGAGCTTACCCATATATGTATTCGTAGAATTGATTACTTGGCTTATGTTTAAGGTAGAGGCAGCACTTGCAAGGTAGAGAATAGCGATGAGTAGTTTCATCATCTCTGAATCATATTGAAATTCAACTCCTTGTTCGAAATCACTGACAAAAAGACCATGCACGGATTTCGCGACTGAGAAAATTGGAGTGGTTCCTAATTACAATGATTTTTAGGTAATACCACTTTATAATAGGTTTGCAATGATACTGACATTTACTCACATATGTAGTGCCAATTATTCCGTCATGTTTTGTTGATTCATTTCAGTGTAGTCCAAAATGAGCCACCTAGCTTGCTGTGGTCGTCAATTATTACGTGTTTTGTATATTGTGTGCTTCACAACATAGACAAACAATGCAATCATAAATAGGCGTTCGAAATCACCGTATTTTGTTTCTTGTTAGCAAGGTTGATATGTTTATTCTATGCACATGCCAGCAAGTTTTAATATCTAAGACGGCTCTCGATCTCTCTTGAACGCAGAGAAATAGAGAAAAGGGAATAGCAATGATTTCCTGTGGGACGCTCCAGAGGATCACACTGCTAATTTCAAGTTTTCTTTCTTTGATTCGATGAAAAGGTAGTGAACGCAATGAGAATCTTTTGTGGCAGTGTTGGGCATTTTGAGACGAAAATTTTTTTGATAGACCTAGACCTGCGGGCACTGGTTCAACGAAGTCGTCAACTGAATTTCACTTGTTATGAAAATAAAACCGAGTTGATGTTATGTATGTTTTGATTAGAAAATTCCACCTTCGAACCGATTCGGACCAAATTTTGCCGTATACGGCAGAACGGGTGTTGTAAGCTTGCAAGTTTTAAGCTTTGCGACACTTGGCAAGAGGGACGGGAGGGGGAGGGGAGGGGAGTGAGCATGCTAATTACTAACAGTTGCCCCTTGTGAGAATACCCAGTACTTTCAGGATAACCATCGATTTTTTGCGAACTTCGGTCTATGAAGCTCTGAGTTGCATAGGATTGGGTAAGTGAACATGCTGGTTTAAGGCACCTAAATTGGGGGTTTTGAGCTTTTGGCAACACATGCTAGTAGGGCCCCCTATCAAACCAATGCCCAAGTCGCGGAGAAAAATGTTGCTTCGAAAGCGAGAAAATCGCTCCGGAATAACGAAGATGCACGAGGACCCCCATCCATGCCCGCCCCTCCCCAATCATGCCCGCCCATTTGTGCGCGCCCATCCAATCACCGTTCCTGAAAGCCGGTCTGTGGGTTCTCCGGAACGGTGATTGTCGGGGTTTTCGCGGATTTTAACTTCATTTTCGGAATCAGGGACATGAGAAGGCCCTGAAACGACATGAACTGGAAGTCGAGAATCTGAGTGGACGGTGCCTTCAAAGTTAGCGTCCAGGCAAATCTGGACCTATGGGGACCTCACATGGAAAGTTTGGGGCCTTAATTAGATCATTGCACAAGCTGTAGCGCAGATAATTTACTCAAGCCTAAGATAAACGCCTGTCAAACTGCACTTCAGATTCATATTAACGGACGACTTGCATCGTGCTCGCATGCTTTCGCGCGAGGACTCACGCGAAACTGAGGGGTCGTCATTTGAAGCCATGCAAGCGCTAGATAAGTTGCCTGTTAATGTAATCCTGGGGTCCAGTATGGAGATATATCAGCCGTGAGTCCACTATCTGAGCTGCCGCTTAGGCAGCGTCTTAGTTTTGGTCACAAAATTACCTCCCACGTCAGATCCCACATGCCGGTTTACCCTCGACGTTGCCTGCGAACTGGGACAAAGAGTTTACTTATAGATGTGGGGCAGAAACAGGGAGGTGTTTTACAGAAAGGGAGGAAAGAAATAATTTTATCATTTTAAGGTGACAAAAACCGAGCGAAGCTGGATTTTCAGCTAACCTGAATGAATGAAGCTTGAGAAGCTGTTTTTGTAATGACTTCAATAATCGAAGGTGCGTTATTGGTCAAAAAAGGTGATTTATGACTATGTAGAGCTTTCGATGCGACATTCTTCAATACTTTAGATTCTCCTCCTTTGAATATATACAATGAGAGTACATTGGCGTATGCGCATAACAGAATGTGTCCAGCACCTAGAGAATGCTGATTGGTGACAAGTATTAATAAACAAAGCGCTTGTACTGTTGATAGAATGGCTGAGAAACAAGAGCAAAAAATATTGAGTCGTTAGAAAGGCCAACTTTGTTTCCTTGATTCCTCTGTTTGTGTAAAAGCAGCGAAAATTCTATGAGCCACGTAGACTGTTTACATCACCGTAATATTACAAAATGTCTAAAAAGGCTATCCTTGCAAGATCTAAGACGTCGAAAATTAGGTTTGACTAGAATGCCGGCAAGTCCTTCTGCTGCACAAATGCCTGTTGGGAAATGTGCGATTCTTTTATAATCAGAAAGTGCCCACTTTATACAGTGTGGCGTTTAGAACCTGTTATGAACAAGGTGACGATGATATAAATTTTCTGTGGGAATCTGGTTTGCGGATCTACTAAAAAGTGCGGAAAAAAGAAATTTCTATACAAACCTAAAAATATTTAGGATGTAACGCTTCCAACTTATAGAATTTGCCGAAAGCGATCGCGTGAATGACAATAGAAATATGCCTGTTTCAACGTATGTGTAAACAAGATCAATCTTATATATATAAAGCTGAGTGTCTGTTTGTCTGTCTGTCTGTCTGTCTGTCTGTCTGTATGTCTGTATGTCTGTACGTATGTTCCGAATAGAAAATTCCATTTCTGAACCGATCCGGACCAAACTCGGCACACATACACATCGGGCCCCGGCGGGTGTCATAGGCTACTTTTCGTCATCGATCGATATCGATTTTATCGATTTTTTGCAAAATTTGAGCTACGGGGCTGGGAGTTGGCACAGGGTGTAATCGAGCATGCTGATTACGAATATAATAATGACAGGGCCGGGCGGAGCCGGGTAAGTCAACTAGTTCAAAATAAAACTGAGGAACCGCCGGATGTGCTCATGAGCTTATACTTTCTTAATGACTCTGTAGAGTTGTGCCTCTATATTTATTTAGGAGATATGAGGACAAATCGAACACCAGTTGCAACAAAGTGCGGCAACGCGAACGACGCGTGCGACGTCGCAGCTTTTCTTTGCTTCGATATCATAGAAAAAAACCGTAGTTTCAGTACTGATGTGAACCGTTTACAACATAGATACTTTTGGATACTATTGGAAACTGAGTTCTTGTTTCTAACTTCCAGGAACGAAGTCAGAAGTCCTTTTCAAGCGACAAAATAGACACATTTCGAATGCACTCAAAACTTTGAGTATGGAACTTATCTGACGAGCTGTTACAGATGTAGCATACAGTCTACTAAACGAGGTTCCTTTGTGTTCAATGGCTGAAAGTGCACTCTTTTTCGCCGAGCCCCATCGCGGTCCGAAACGCCCTCACATACTTCGCAGCAGGGACTTTCCAAAGAGGACCGCGAAGCGTCGCTTTCAAGTTGCAATATGTGGTGGGGGGAGGGGGTGACTTAATCTGTCTCATATAGGTAAGCTGGTATGGCTTTCATAGATTAAACCAGAGATGGTATCCTATCCTAGATGCTTCCAAAGATCCCCAAAAGCTTGCAAATAAGATAAGAAAGTTTTGTAGCTGATATGCTCCAGCAGCTGTTTTATAAGCACGAGAAATTTGGATTTTCTCATAAGTGACGTAAGCTTGCTCACAGCACTGCACACATTCATAAGTGACGTAAGCTTGTTCACAGCACTGAACACATTTTAAATTGTTCACACGTTATGCACGTTCCTTACTCCTACGACAGGGTTGATATTAGAAAGTAGAAATTATACAGAGTGTTCCAAAAAGATGTGCACACTGCTTAACTGTTAATAACTCTCTTGCTTTCAAATCTTTTGCCGAGCTTGAGTTACCATTCTGTAGAACGAGGATAAACCTAGATTTACAGTATGGAGCGAAGAGCGAACCATCAATCACTCATTACTGTAGGATTACGGTGTTAACTTTCAGCATACAGTGTCACTATAGCATAGGCCTTTTGATGAAATAATTTCAAAAAAATCTGAAAATTTGTGTAGCAAGGTTTTCAAGCGTGCTGATTTCAATACATAACTTTTCACTCGTTTTTCGAGCTTTCTTGATGGCGTATTCACATTTTTGACGAGCATTGGAAAATTAGTTGTTGCCCTAAATCTGAGATAACTCATGAAAGAAACAATGTCCTGAGGTGCAGTTTTCATATTTAGAATCATCGACTTCGATTAATCCAGTTCAAAAGTTTCTGGCTTGGCTGGCTTTCTTTCTGAGGCAAAATACCCCTTTCAATGGCTCAAAATCCTCCTGCAAGTTCCTACCGTAATCCTACAGTAATAAAGAGCGACGGATAATTCGCTCCATACTGAAAAACTAAGTTGAACCAGCTCTAAAGAATGCCACCTCAAGCTCGACAAAAGACATGAAAGCAAGAGAGATTAACGATCAAACAGTGTGCACATCTTTTTGGGACACCCTGTATCATTTGATAAAGCATAACAAGCTCTATAAAGCGGTTTTCGAACCATGGCAATAAGTAGGGGCAAAATAGTTCAATAGCGTGACCATGCCATTTTTTTCGATTTTTCACGCAAACATTTACTTCGCCAACTTTGAACCTTGTTGACTAGAGCTTACTTAGAAAACTAGAAGTTTATAGTCTCCTTTGCAAGATCTGTAGTATAGATTTACTTATGTAGGAACAGAGCAGCGTAGCTTCCGCTAGAGCATCCAATCTTGATTCTTTTAGTATCTAGCCATAAAAGTACACAACATCTATAAACAGATTTTTGATGTAGGCAACATGCTGAGAAAAAGCATTTCTGGACGGAATTTTTCGGTGTTTAGGTAATCGACAGTTCACATACTTTGCTTACAAACTTCGTGTAGATTGAACTTGCCATTGTTAAGATGCGAAATTATTGAGCTTGTTTCTTTTATTAAATGCTGTGTCCTACATATTCGGAGATACCCTGCCGCGTTATGATGCAACCGTTAACTGGGCACTCAAGGTTTTTTTATTAATTTCGGCTCCTGACTCGATAT